TTTAAATAAAATATGCGTCTTTGTACAGAGAATGGAATACTTTTTGTGTTTTTACTGTAAGCTTGCTGTGTGTTGTCAAAAAACTTTCCCCGGGGCCAGCAGATGGCATAGTAGTTAAAGGGCTGGATTCCCACATGGTCCATGGTGATTAGAGGCCTGGACCTGGAGGCCTGAAAATTATGCCACGTGGATGTGTGCACATGCCCCAAATCTCAGGAGAATGGAGGAGAAGGGATTGTGGCGCAGCTTTCTCCCTGAGGGTGCTTTCTCAGTTTGCTTCTCACTGTCACTGTCTAGTGAGCACACAGACATTATGGCAAAACCTTAAAAAAGCAAAACAAAAAAACTTTGCCATTTAATTTGTAGTATGTCATGTAGATAACCACTTTCCCAGCCTCCTGCATGGTGTCTGTTCACCTAATTCTTCCCTTTGAAACACAAGTAGGTGTTTCCTGTTTTTCACCTGTGCTGACAAATACTGGTGCTTTGAACATCTTTTTGTGTGGTTCTTGGCACCCTTGGCATTGTTTCTCTTGGACAGATAACAAGAAGTGGAGTACTGGTCAGTGAGAGTTTCCTGGCCGGTCTAGCACAGGCAGAGAGGCATCTTTCCACTTGCTTCAGGGAGCCTTAAAATTGGCATTCTCCTTGCTACATAAATCACACTCCCATTTAATAATGAGAGAATAGCCCATGAGCTTCAAATACACATTGTCACATTGGCTATTTTTGTTCCTGCTGCTGTTAATTTCTTAATTTGCTATAAGGCATGTATGCTCACTGGAGAGAGGGAGGGAGGAAGGGAGAAAGAAAGAAAAGAGGGAGGGAGGGAGGAAGGAAGGAAGGACGGAAGGACGGATGGATGGATGGATGGACTGACTCACTCACTCCCTAAGGGGGATGGCCACACTGCAATCTTTTCCCCTGGGATTTTGGGCATGCATTCACATGCTCCTGGTGTGTTTTTCAAGTCATCAGAGCTGGAACTTGAACTGCACAGTCCGCCACGTGGAATCTAGCTGCCTTAACTATCATGCCAAACCACGACGTCACTGACCTGTGCCCCACTTTCTCTTTGGAAAAGTGCCTGTTTATATACATTTTGCTCATCTTTTTTTTTTTTTTGGAGAGGTTTTCGCTATAGGGCACGTGCGCTTGCCAGACAGAGAGAGACATTGAGACAGAAAGTGAGAAAACACACCCCCAGAGGGGAAGGTCACGCCGCAATCCCTTCTCCATTCTCCTCTCGGGATCCTGGGCATGCACGCACATGCGCCTGGCGTGAGTTTTAAGCCACCGGGTCTGGTACGCGAACCGTGGTCGACAACGTGTGATTCCAGTGACAGCCATTACGCTAACTGCTGGTTCCCTATTTTGCTCATCTTTTGATTGACTTTTCTTAATACTCTTGATTGAGAAAGAATGTGTGTGCTCTGAGTGTAATTCTTAGCATAAATCTCTTGCTATGGAGAATTATGTGTGTCTCCACATGTAAGACTTCTCGTGTGTTGAGCTGGCCATGCCAGTGACTGCTCATGTTATCACTGTTGATTCGCAGTTGTTCCCACATGCTTGCAAGTGCCAGACCTGGGCTGAGCACAAAGAGGGAGCTGCAGCATCCCAGTCCTGGGGAGCTTCTCTCTTTCAGAGGATACAAACAGTAAAGTAGAGCTTTAACGAGGACTTTCAAAAATGGAAAATACCTTCTTCAGCAGTGATTAGAGAGACCCACGATAAATAAAGATTCTAGGGGCCGGCAGATGGTGTGGTGGTTAAGGCACTAGACTCCCACATGACAAACTACAGTTCAAGTCCTGGACCTGGTGGCTTCCTTCTTCTCTCTCTCTTTCTCTCTTATTCTCATGAGCACACGGCCCTGTAGTAAATAAAAAATAAATTAATTAATTAAATTAAATAATTATTTGGGAGGAAAAAAGATTCTATTACTTATAGGCTCTACAAGGCACATGTAGGTCAGGAAAAGGTAGAAGTAACACATTGGCCAGTGCCTTCGTTAGATCTAGGGCATTATCCAAACAGGTTTGTCTCTATGCCTCAGAGAGGATTTTTTTTTTCTCCCCAAATAGTTTTTGCTGTAAAGACTTGTTCACTTGCCAGAGAGAAAAAGAGGTGGAGAGTGAGAAATCACCCCAAGGTGTGGGTATTTGCATATCCATCTCCCTTATCAAGTCTCCTCTTGGCATATACATATTCCCTGCTTAATTCTCAAGGCTCTGGGTCTGGACTTGAACCACATAACCAGCTATGTGGGATCCAATGCCTTAACCTCCATGCCACCTATTGGTGCTCTTTCAGGGAGTTTTAATTGGTGAGTTTAGAGAAAGCAGGCATGAGTGCCATGGGGTCCCACTGTCCCAGTGGTGGACACTGTAGCATATCTGTGCAACCCATGTGGGCTATGGGGGTCACTGGGACTAACCCAGTAGGCTGCACTAGCTCCCGTAGGGAGATGGTAGCTGGGAGGTGGCATATAAGACATATATCTGGGGGACCAGCAGTTGGCGTAATGGCTATGTCGCTGGACTCCTATGTAGTTGACTGCAGTTCGAGTCCCTGACCCAGTGGCTTAAACTCAAGCCGGGTGTGTGTGCATGCATGCCCAAGATCCCGAGATGAGAAGGGATTGCCGCCTGACCATCCCCCCTAGGGGGTGATTTCTCGCTTTCTGTCTGTCTGTCTGTTTTTCTGGCGAGTGCACGCATCCTATGGCAACCCCACCCCACCCCCACCCCCCCAAAAAAGGGCAGATACTCGGATTGACCACCTTGAAAACTGGGAGGAGAAGGAAAACTGGAAACTGTCAAGGTGACCGAGCACTGCCTCTAGTCTGAGAAAGTCTAGCATATTCAAAATGAGTGTCAGGGCAACATAAAGTTGTTGTTTTCTTTTAGAGATTTTTTATATAGGATGTGTGTACTTGCCAGAGAGACAGACAGAAAGCAAGAAATTACCCTCCAGGGGTATGGCCACTCTGCAGTCCCTTCTCTGTTTTCTTGGGATTTGGGGCACACATGCAAACGCACCTGGCATGAGTTTCAGGCCACATGGGAGTCCAGCGCCTTAATCACTATACCACCTGATGGCTCCAGCAGCATAAAATTGTAAGAATTCACTACAGAAAGTAAAGCCCTGTGTGAAGCCAGTGGTAGGCACTGCAACCTATACAGGATGGTGTTGGAGTAGGACCATTGGCTATTTGGGAACTAGGGTGTATTCAGGGTCCATAAGGCAGGGCCATGCCCAGGGTACTCAGGGAGCAGTGAGGAGCCCAGGTGGGAGGTGGAGGCCAGTGTTCCTCAAACTGGTAGTAGGTGCACACACACAACACGCACATACATGAGCTGCTGAGGCATCCCATCTGTTGTACATTCTGTTTAGCTGGCAGAGTTGATTGAAGCTTCAGGTGACTCCTAGGTATGACTTGAGAAGCCAGGAAAGGCCTAGAGCAGGAACGGGCCCTGCTGTAGTCAGTGAAGGGTTGATTAGGCAGGGGCTGTTGGGGGTCATCTGGTATGCTAATGCCTGGATTGATTTGAAAGTGGGACTGACAGGATTTACTGATGGGGGATGAGATATGGAGGCATCCCAGGTTTTAGTTTGAACAGCTGAGAGGGTGGCAATGCTTTTTGGGGGAAATAGCAGGAATTCCATCTTGGACCTAGGAATCTGGGGCAGTGTTGTTTGTACAGTCAGTACACTAGTCTGGAGTTTGGGGAGGGGTTCTATAGATCTAGAGTGGAGGTGAGGTGTTGGTTGGAAAGTCAACCTGGATCTTCTCATGTATAGCCACAAGATCGGGTGAGACCCCCGGAGAAATGGCAGACTGAAGAGAGAGCGCCCTGTGCTTAAGTGGATGAAGATGGAACCAAGCCCAGATGGGGTTTAGAGGAGGCAGAATCAGGAGCAGGCCTTGATGTGTGGGTGATCTGGAGGCCAGGTTGAGTGATGTTGGTGAAGGCTGTTGCACAGGGTGGATTTGGAGAGGGCTCTGTGGGTGAGAGGCTTCAGGGTTTTATGTATGGGCCAGGGAGCATTTGGTAGAAATTAGAAGGATGTGGGGTCTAGAGTGTGTTTTTGGTTTTGCTTTTGTTTTTTATCGTGGGGTTTGTTGGCTGCTGGGCATAGTTTGGTAGGGAGAAATGGATAATGCTGGAGAGGGAGAGGTGCTGGGCCAGTACCTAGGATAGAGGCTCAACTGGATGTCAAGCTCCTGTCACACTTGGGGGCTGGCAAGGAACACCTGCAAGTTCTCTTTCAACCACTCTGCTCTTGGTGATTGGAGAGTATGAATAGGGAGGAGAGGTGTGCAGTAGTTTGACAGGGCCACTGGCAGGTATGAGCTCCCAGGAAGTGTTCTAGGGACTTTTAGGTGGTTAGTGCAGGTGAGTCACACATGAGGAGTCAGGTCTCTGATCAAGCCTGTGCCAGGCTGATCAGTTGCTATTGGCGTGGAGTACAAATCAGAGAATGAGAGGCCAGCAGGTGACTGGACTTCTACATAGCCGACTGCAGTTCAAGTCCCAGGCCTGGCAGCTTTCTCTTCTTCCCTACCTCCCTCCACCCCTATCAAATTAAAAAAATAAATAAAATAAAGTTAAATAAAAATAATTATTATTTTTTCTTTTTTTGTTTTTGGTGAGAGTTTATTTAACTTTATTTATTTATTTATTTATAATTTGACCAGAGAGGGACAGAGAGAGAGAGAAAGAGAGAGGGAGGGAAATTAAGGAAACAAGACTCCAGGTCCAGGACTTGAACCGTGGTCGGCCATGTGGGAGTCCAACATCCTTAACTACCACGCCAGCTGCTAGCCCCAATAAAAATAATTATTAAAAAAATCAGAGGATGAGATCAGTAGTGGATTGAGCCTGTGAGTGGTACAGAGATCTGGGGAGAGCAGTGAGGTGGATTGAGGTGGGAGTGGAGGCTTCGAGGAGTTTCGCTGTGGATAACAAGGCTCTTTTTCTGTTTTGATATAGGTGGCTATTATCATGGAAAATTAATTTTTCCCAGAGAATTTCCTTTTAAACCTCCTAGTATTTATATGATAACTCCCAATGGAAGATTTAAGTGCAATACAAGGTAAGGTACTTCCCTGATACTGCAGTGCTTTAGAAGCTATCTGGTCATGTGCACTTCTCTTGACTGATGGAGCCCCTTCATTGCAGGTTGTGTCTTTCTATCACGGACTTCCACCCAGACACGTGGAACCCAGCCTGGTCTGTCTCCACCATCCTTACTGGGCTTCTAAGCTTCATGGTGGAGAAAGGCCCCACCCTGGGTAGCATAGAAACATCGGACTTTACGGTGAGGTGTATAGAGCTCCTTGTTGGGGCATCACAATGGGGCTTTGGACTTCCAGCTTTGCATCTAGGGGTATTTATGTTCCTGAGGCACAGCGCCTTTCCTCTCAGTGAGTGGGTGCTGCAGAGTTCCCACCATGTTCTTTTGAGCACCAGGGTAGAGATTGTTCTGCTTTGGACTTTCCTGATTCAACCCTTTGGTTTCTCCATCTCCTGCCTCCAGGCCATGTTTATTTATTTATTTATTTTCCCTGCCAGAGGTATGTGTGCTTGCCAGAGAGACAAGAAAGAGAGGGAGAAAGCACTCTCCAGTGGGATGTGATCACCTTGCAATTCCTTATTTTTTTTTCGAGGTTTTTTTTTGCTATAGGGCGTGTGCGCTTGCCAGAAAGACAGAGACAGACAGAGGGACAGAAAACGAGAAATCACCCCCCAGGGGGGATGGTCACACCACAATCCCTTCTCCTCTCGGGATCTTGGGCACGCATGTACACGCGCCTGGCCTGAGTTTAAGCCACCAGGTCCGGGACTCGAACCTTGGTCGACTACATGGGAGTCCAGCGACATAGCCATTACGCTAACTGCTGGTCCCACAATTCCTTTTTCAGTTCTTTTTTTTCTTTCTTTTTGAGAGATTTTCGCTATGGGGTGCGTGTGCTTGCCAGGCAGACAGAGACATAGAGACAGAAAGCGAGAAATCACCCCCAGGGGGGATGGTCACGCCGCAATCCCCTCTCCTCCATTCTCCTCTTGGGATCTTGGGCAAGCACGCACACGTGCCCGGCGTGAGTTTTAAGCCACCGGGTCCAGGATGCAAACCGCGGTCGACTACGTGGGAGTTCAGCAACATAGCCACTACGCTAACTGCTGGTTCCCCCTTCTTCATTTCTTAACCCTGACAGAATTCTGGCCTTGTATACACATGTGCACCTGGTGTGTATTCCCAAGTTGTCAGGGCCGAGATTTGAACTATACCATTGACCATATGGAATCCAGCTCCCTTAATCATTAGGGTATGGGGCTGGCCCTAGACCTTGGTTTTATCTATGTAAGCCTGTGTGTGGCCACCAGGACCTATTGTACACACCCACCAAGATGTCTATCTCAGGAGACTTTGGAGGGGTCAGGGCTGGGTACCTCCAGAGCACATCATCTGTTCCTTCTTGTTATCTTGTTTTTATTCTTTTTTTGTTGTTGTTCTTTTAAGCTTACTAGTGGGTGTGCACACTTGCCAGAGAGAGATAGAAACAGGGAGTTTGAGAGAGCTCCTTTAGTCACAAGGTCATGGGCCGATTATGTTTTTATTTTCTAAATGGAATTCAAATTTATTGTTATTAGTTGATGATAATGGAAAGATCAGTCCTTATAAAGTGGTAAATTAGTTTGTTGTGAATATTAAGTTTATTGTGTGTATGGTTTTTTTTTTATTATTATCATAATCTTCTTTATATTACATTGGATTACATATAACTTTACATTGACTTCCATTGCTTTTTCAAAAGGGAATGCCATGCATGTCAGTCAATACAGAGGCATCGATCTCCCCACTTTATCATTCAAAGTCTTTTCCATGCATTTCCCAATAATTATTATAATTTTTTAAAACAGTCAATCACTATTTCTCATTTTGCTTGTTAAAAGACTTCACCCATCATGAAATACTTCCCAGACCAGTCCAGTTGAGAATACTATACACGTCATCTTCAACAGATAATAAACCATATCTGTTTCTCACTAACATCACTTGCTATCTTTCTCTATCCTCTTCTCTTTTTTTTTTTTTATAGTTTATTTTTTATTATAATTTTTTTTTTCCCATCGCAACACACAAATGAATTTTCCATCCAATATATACTGTGCGTTGGCTCAATCAAGCATGTCAACATATATGTTCTCAGCAAATAATTTCCCAATTCTTGTGTCCTGCATACCTTGCCTTTTGTTTTACCATCCTAGATTCCCCATCCCCCTCCCTCTGTTATGACCCATCCTCCTTGTATGGTTTTGTTTTTTGTTTAATAGAAGCAGATTTTTGCTATAGGGCGCATGCATTTGCCAGAGAGACAGAAAGTGAGAAATTACTCCCCAGGAGGAATGACCAACCTGCAGTTCCTTCTCCATTCTCCTCTCGGGATTTTGGGCATGCATGCACACACTCCCAGTGTGAGTTTTACAGGGTCCAAAACTCAAACTGCAGTCGACTATGTGGGAGTCCAGTGACATATCTAGTGCACCATCTGCTGGCCCCTGTTAAGTGCATTTTATAACTTAAAGACAGCAGCCCTTGACTCTTAAAATAATGTTTTGAAATTTGGAAATGATTGAAATGTACTTTCTGGCTGATATCTTCCTTCTTTTTCTCCCTAGAAAAGACAACTGGCAGTGCAAAGTTTATCATTTAATTTAAAAGATAAAATTTTTTGTGAATTATTTCCTGAAGTTGTAGAGGTAAGAAAGCAAAAGTTGAATATTAGTTTTACCTTCCTGCATTAAATTTTCTCTCAGATTTGATTTCTTTCTTAAGAGAAAGCATATGTTCCTATGAATTCTAAGCTGAAATGACCCAGAGGGATGGCAGGCATCCCTGGAAGTTGGGAGCATGAGAAACATCTGCCAGCCACAGCGAGGAGGCAAGCTCTGGCAGGGGCAACAGCTCTGGACCCCTCCTCCAGGAGCCCACAGTGCAGGGCAGGCAGAAAGCCCCAGGGCTAGGGGAGAGGACCTGAGGGCCAGCTGTGTGCATGTGCTTCTGCTCAGGCAGAAGCAGGGTTGGATCTGTTCCCACAAGAGCATGGAGCTTGTTGGCCTATGTGGCTACCGTGTGGGTAGGATGCCAAGGATCTGGGTGGGAGAGGCTGGACTGCATGGTGGTCAGTGTTGCTCTGACCTGGGTGGGTGGGTGTTTTTTGTTTTTTTTTTCTGGACACCTGCGAAATGGGATCAGGAGCTGAGCCTAGCCTGCCTTGGGATGTAAGGACTTGACATATAGCAAAGAGAGCTTCATGGACTCCTGAATACTGAAGTGTAGATTCTAAAGAGCTGGCTATTTAGACCAACCTTGGTTTCTTGCTGTTTTTCTCTTAGGAAATTAAACAAAAACAGAAAGCACAAGATGAGCTTAGCAGCAGACCTCAGACTCTCCCCTTGCCGGATGTGGTCCCTGATGGAGAAATACACCACGGCCAGAATGGGGTCCAGCTTCTCAATGGGCATGCACCAGGTGCTGGCCCACACCTTGCAGGGCTCCAGCAGGCCAACCGGCACCATGGACTCCTGGGCGGAGCCCTGGCGAACTTGTTTGTTATAGTTGGGTTTGCGGCCTTTGCCTACACGGTCAAATATGTGCTGAGGAGCATTGCACAGGAATGAGAGGCACCCACGAGACAAGACCCATAGGCGCTGCTGAGGGACTCGGGCACCAGAGTTGGACACAGGCGGGCTGGACACATTACAAGCACAGGGTGGGCCCGCCGGACTCTTGGGTTTAGCTTTTTAAAAACCTTAAAAGGAAAGCAAAAACCAAAATGTGATAAGGATTTGGAGACTTGCCTCTCAGCTCCATCTTCCCACCCTGATGTGTCAGGGGCTGGCATCGATGACAAGGGCCGCTCATGCTTTGGTTTTATAGCTTATCTCCTGTATTGTCTTTTGGACCTGTTTTAGTAAACTCGTTTTTCATTTTATTAGATTTGGTCACTTAAAAATAGAAAATTCAATGCCTATCAAATACTCTGCGAGTACTCTTAAAAGAGCTCCCTGATATGCAGGCAAGAGCTGGCGAGCATTGGTCTAGCTGTGTTGTGATGAGGCTTAGCAGGGTCGCTGGCCAGTTACAAACATGGATGGGGATCCATGAGAGATGGAATTTGGTCTCAGCATTTTTAAATGTGTTAATGGTCAGAACAAAATAAATTCCTTGTAGAAAGTACCGCTTTTGTTTTTTTGCTCCCGTAAAGTTAGTAACTTGCTCACTCTGACCACAAGGTGTCGTCATTTACTTAAAGCAGTAACAGAATGGAAGAGACTGGTAGCTTTCACTCCTCACCCCTCAGTCCCTGGCCTTCTAGCTCACCGTGAACTAGAGAGAACTCGAGAAACTGCAAAGCTTTTTCTCTGAATTCTTTACATTTTGTTGGCCCAGAAGCTCATTTTCCTTCTTTCCTGGAGGGTGGAGAGGGGGTCCCTCCTCAATATGCAGGGCTGTTTTTATGTTTTGGGGTTTCCTTATGGTTACCTTACATTCCTTTGTAGGTACTATGTCAGGTGTTTGCTCTTCACAGAAGATCACGGAGGGGTGGTGGAGGTGGGGAACTGCCCTGGAAATATTTATCTGAGAGGAGTGTCAGAGCCAGCATGGTCTCAGTTTTGGAACTAATGACTCCTTTCACCTACATAGGATATTTTGAAGAGGCATCACAGTGTTTGAAAAAAAACGTGTGAGCCACTAGAGGGAAGAAATGATGCTGTGCCCAGTGGTGGACATGGCCACGAGTCATCTTTAGGAAGTCATTGCTGAGGCTGTATAGCCAACCTCCTTCCAGAAGCAAGACATAAAACTGTGTTTATCTAAAATTTTGTGTTTTGATCATTTTATTTAAAATTGCTCTATAATTTACCAGTTGTGTGTATTTAACTCTTGCAAAAACTTTTTCATTATATCTTTGTTCCTAAATTTCATGCTGTTTGAGTCTGTGTTGGCAGAGATCTGTGCCTATCTCTGTTGCCTCAGAGGTAGGTGGGCTGTGGGCACAGGTCACACCTGCCCAATCAGAATGGTGTGTTAGCCACAGGAGCTTTGGCAGTTACTGATAGGCGGATCCTGCTAGTGACGCTACATTACTGGGGCCCTGATGGTCTCATGACTGTCTGGTGACCTTGGCAAGCAACTGGTGGAGCTCTTTAGGACCCTGCTCCTCTCCTGTGCTGAATGTCAGCCCTACCCCAGCCATGACACCAGTTCCAAACCCTTGATGCTTTCTGAGGTCCTTGGCAGGCAGAATGTCAACAAATACAGGGTTTACTTAGCATGTGTTACTTCTTTTCTCTATGAAGTCTCAACCTGTAATGACCCTTGGGCAGTGGTGGAGATAGATTCTGGTGCCTATGGCATGTTCCAGCACTGGCCCAGAATAAGAGATGGCCTTTATCCTAATGGACCAAGCACATCTGACCATTTTTCCTTGGAGGAGTTACTGATGGGGACAGTTGGATATCCTTGTGCAGTGGGCCCCCTGACTGGCACAGACCCTTGTGCAGACTGGGCTGTAAAGTGTTTTAGTAATGGGAGAAAAACCCCTTATAAAACTGATTCCAGGCCATTGCTGTGAAGACTGTGGTGCTTCCGAACATCTTGCTCACCGGTATATCAGGGGTTGGAAAAAACCACATTAGGCAAAGAATTTGCATCAAGATCAGGACTGTAATACATTAATGTGGGCGATTTAGCTCGAGAAGGGCAGTTGTTTGGTGGTTATGATGAAGAATATGATTGTCCCATTTTAGATGAAGACAGTAGTTGATGAATTAGAAAACCAAATGAAAGAAAGTGTAGTTATTACTGATTTACATGGTTGTGATTTCTTCCCTGAACTCTGGTTTCATGTAGTTTTTGTGCTGAGAACTGCTAACAATATATTGTACAAAAGACTTGAAACAAGGGATTATAGTGAAAAAAAAACTAAAAGAAAATACTCAGTGTGAGAATTTTATGAAGAAGCCACGTTATCCTATAAGGAAGAAATTGTGCATCAGCTGCCCAGCAATAGACCAGAAGAGCTAGAGGATAGTATAAACCAAATCTCTTTTTTTTTTTTTAAGAATTATTCTATTTAACTTTATTTAAATTCGATCAGAAAGGGACAGAATGAAAAATAGAGAAAGTGAGAAAACAAGCCACCAGGTCTGGGATTCAAACCATGGTCAGCCATGTGGGAGTCCAGCAACCTCAACCACCATGCCACCTGCCCGCCCATAAACCAAATCTCTATATGGATTGAGCAGTGGATCAAAGATCATAATTCTTTTTTTAAGAATTTTTTTTTAAGGATTGCTTTATTTAACTTTATTTGTATTTTGACTAGAGAGGGACAGAGAGAGAGAGGGAAAGTGAGCAAGCTGCTAGGTCTGAGATTTGAACCGTGGTTGGCCATGTGGGAATCCAGCGCCCTTAACCACCACGCCACCTGCCCATCCCCATAATTCTTAACTTATAAAACTGGCCATTTTACAATGAAAACAAAACAAAGCAAACAAAAGCTCAGATTCCATAGATGTGTGGAGAGTGACCTTGGAAGAAAGCGTTTCCTGAGAGTCCAGCAGCCCATGCTTCTTCCCTAAGGAAATCCCCAGCGAAGATAGCAGAGAAGTATGGATCAGAGGGAGCAAGCAGCTTTTCCTGTGCTTCAGGGAGGTGGGCAGACAGCAGGACACACTGCTTTTGGGGTGGAGGTGGGGGTGGTGTCTCTGCCCCAGGGCCCTGAGGTCCTGTCCTTGTCCTTTGCCATTTTACCAGGGTCTAGGGGTGTCGGCGACTGTGGGAGGGTAAAGAGAGCTAATGGCTAGACTGAGCCTTTCTTGGGGATGGCACGTTGATCCTAGGTAGATGACTAGGAGGGTAGGCTCCTTTGGTAACTTTCCAGATGGTTCTGACATCTGAGATAAAGTGGAGGCAGCAAAGCTCCAAGCTGTATGGGGACTGAGTCCCCTCTGCAAAGCACTGCCTGAGTGGTTCCTGCTTCCTGGGGGCATGGAACTCAGGGCTCATTCTGAAGTCTGTGGATGGGAATGAGAAACCAGTCTTTCCCAGCCCCAACCTCACTGTGATCGGCCTTTGGTCTGGCCTCCTAGGCTATCTGCCTTTTAGAGGTCTCATCTGTCTGGAGTCACAGGAAGGCATATCACCAGTAGGACTCTGCCTTCAAGCCTTAGAAGATTAGGTCATCAGAAAGGAAGGAAGGGCCTGGCGATGTGGGTGGAAGTCTCTTGGGCCAGCAACTTTATCTACCTACCTTCATGCCCCAAACCTGAATCAAGATGGACAGGACTATCTTTGCCCAACCCAGTTACCCCTAGGACTTAGCAAGATGGGTGTCTAGCAGGATGACGCACCCAAGTGGCCTCCTCACCCAATCATTAGCAACTGGTTCAACAGTGGACATGTGAGGGCTGAAGAGACTTCCTGAGAGTCTTGAGGCTTCAACAGTGCACTTGGGAGACACCAAAATCAGTCTCGTCTCTTTGGAGAGGTTACTTCTGCCTGAGAGCCAGATGGGTGAGGAGTGGACAGGTGCTCCAAGTAGGAATTGCCCACACTTCCTCATCCTAATCTTGTCTCTTGGGAGGCTCTGCCTGTGGGTGTACTCAGGCCCGGGTCTCCTGTGTGGCTACTTCTACCCTTCTCCAAGAAATTGAGGGGTTCTCAGGCACTCTGCTGACCGTGAGGACCAAGACCACTAGTGCCAATGTATCCACCTTCCTCATGCTAGGCTTGGAGTCAGCTTGTTCCAGCTCTATGGCTGTTGATTGGCCTTGGCCTGAACTAGTCAAGGGGCAGTTGGAAGCTGGGGATCCTCGCCCAGGCTTCCAGCTCCACCCAGGCTTCCACCTCACAGTCCCTGAGCCCAGAGTGCCTATCAACTTGCCCAGGCACCATGTGACCCATTGCCTGGAGCTAGCCTCTGCCCACCCACTGTCTCATGTGTCCCATGGCAGAGAATCCCATGTGCAGCGCTTGATCCAGCTTCCCAGGGGCTTAGGCCCTTTTACTGATCTACCAGGCGCCTCTTTTACCCACTGGCTTAGGAGGGCAGGTGATAAGGGCTGACTGAGCTCCCAAAAGCGAACGGAGCAGAAGGACTCGAACAGCTAGCCTCACCACCTGCTGTATCTTCTCTCTGAGACCTGTCTTCTGTGGCCAAGGCCACACTCTACCTCCCAGTGGAGGAGGGGAACTTTGTGTCTGAGATGTCGTGTTTCCCCAGGGCCCATCATTTCCTGGGGACAGTGTCCCAGTCAGGTCTTCAGCCATTCCCAGGGATCCTGTGCAGGAAGGCAGGGGATCCAAAGTGCCTGGATGAGTGGCTGTGGGAAAGGGTTGGGGGCTCTGTCAGCTGATGACTGGGGAGGGGTCTCCTGGTGTGTGAGGTGCCAGGTTAACCTTATTAATAAATCGAAGCTTAGCTGGGATGGGGAATGGCAAGAAGGGTAGATAGGTGTTAACGGTTCCTAGGGTAAGTCAAAGCCTTCTGGAAGGGGTGGGAGGCAGATTGGGGGCTGTTTCCATAGGACCCGGGAGACGGGAGATCTGGAGAGAGTAGATTCAGCCCCTCCAGAGCCCAGTCCTCTGCTATTCAGAAGAGCCTGAGGCAGTGGTCAGTGGGGGTCCCCGCCCCTGTCCCCGCCCCCAACTGTCAGGGCGCTGGGGGCAGCTGGAAGATCATCGGAGTGTGAGCCCTCCCTCTTGGAGCCCGCGAGGTTTGGGGAGGAGGGGAGGGTTTATTTGGCGGCAGGGCGGGGGGGCGAGGGTTGATTGGGCGGCAGGGCGGGCGGGCCAGGGCAGTGTGCGCGAAAGGCGGCGGGCGAGAGCCTCGAGGCCTGAGGGGACCCGAGGGCGTCCCGCCGCGCGCTTTTGCCAGTTGTGTCTCCGCTCCGGGCTGGTCCGCGCAGACATGCACTGGCGGCAGCCGCGAGCGCACCGGGACCTTGCACCTGCGCGGGGGCTCTGAGCGCCACCGCCCCCATGAGAGCGCCCTGGAGCCAGGGTGTGCAGCGCTGAGCCGCTGGGACCCCAGCCATGCGGTGCTGGGTCTGGGCCGTGGCTGCGGCCCTCTTCTGGCCGCAGCTTGTGCTCTTTGGGTGTGTCTGGGCACGGCGGGAGCCCAAGAAGCCTAGGCAGCCCAGCCAGCACACGGAGACCCCCAATGCCACCGCGTCCGACAAGGAGGGGCTGCTGAGTTCCCCCGAGGTATGAGTGGGCTGGGGCGCACGTGGGTGCGGGCGTGCATGCACTTGAAGGTGCTGCTTTGGGGCTTGGGGTGCTGGGCGGTCCTCTTTGCTTTAGTAGGCTCTGCCCTGCCAGGCTCTGCCTCCAAGTTGCCCTTCTACACTATGACCACAGGCTCCGTTTTGGTGGACCAACTGCAGCAGAGATAGTAGCCAGCCTTTGGGGAGCCCCTCCCCAGGCTAGATCTGAGGAGGAGCTGAGGGAGGGTTTCTCAGCATGGCCACAGTGAACTCTGAAACCCCAGGCCCATCTCCCCTGAGCAACCTGCTGCCATTAGGTGTAATTGCTTATTCAGACAGGGGTGGTAGGTGTGCGCGCGCGCGCGCGTGTGTGTGTGTGTGTGTGTGTGTGTGTGTGTGTGTGTGTGTGTGTGTGAGGGCTCCAGGAAGCCTGCTAGATGGGTTACCAGACCCCATGTTGGGAGTGGGGGCGGGAGCAACTCTTCCAGGGATCTCTCTGGAAGCCCTAGAAAGACTGAATTCAGCTGGGCAGGGTTAGCACAGGGGGCATGGGCTGGAGAGAGGGTAGCCTCCATGGGTAAGCCCCTGTCTCTGAAGAACTAGGGGGTGTGGGCAACCAGGCCAAAGCCCACTGTTGGGGGACACATGGGGCTGGCAGGAAGCTCCCCGGCCCTGTGTGTCCATTTATGAGGGAGTAGGGTGCTGGACACCCCTAATATCCCAATTCCAGTCACCTGGCTAGTCTGTCCCATGTGTTTCCAAGGGGCATGTGTAGCCAGCATCCCACGTGGTCTTTTGCATGGGATATGCTCTGTCCTTGGAGTCTCCAGGCCCCAGCTGGGGTCTTCTTGAAAACAGAACAACGTGTGTGCCTCAGCTCAGGGCTTCTGCCTTCTTGGGCTGAGGGTCTCCTGAGGGAATCTTGGAGCTCAGACCACAGAGCCTCTTTCTGCTGCAGTTCCAGGGCCCCAGGACAGGGAAGGGAGTGGCAGTCGCCCTGACAGTGCCTCCCTCCACCACCCCGCCCCCCAAGACCTCTTGCCTTTGATCCCAGCTGTCCTCTTCCCAAGGGCATCTCTGAGGCTGCCTCTTAGTCCACACAGCCCTATCAGAGCCCAAGGCCCCATTTTCCAGATGGGCAGGCTGAGGAGAGTGGAGTCCTCAGTCCCTGCCAGCCGAGGAGGGTGAGCTGCGGTGGTGCCAGGGCAGATGTGAGGGCACAGCCTTCAGGGTCTCTGGCGAGGGCAGAGAACAATCCTAGCCAGCCACCAGGAGAGGAGAGGAGGCATCCACTTGTGCCCTTTGGTGACTGTTTGCCACTCAGCCCAGGGCTGCCCATCCTGAGAAAGGTCAGGAGCAGTCTGGGGACCTACAGGTAGGGGGGTGTCCTGGCTTTGTGACTGGCTCTGGGCTGACCTTCGGCAGGTGTCCAGGACACCTGCTCTTCCTGTCAGGGCGGGCCATTGTCCACCTGCTTCTACTGCCTCTGCCTTTGGCCCCCAGATGCAGCTAATGCACGTGTCTGTCCAGGGCTCCTGGGTCCCTAAGCATGTGGACAGGAGGTGTTAATCAGGAGAATGAGTGGGTGTGTGAGAAATCGGGTTTCATTCAGATGTTCTTGGCTTCTCTTTTCCTTGGGTGGAGCCCAGCCAGGGGTAGGGAGCTCTTGATGCATTTGGGGCTGGGGCTGTCCTCGGGACTGGATCATGCCCTGGGGTTCCCTGGCCTCTCCCGGCCAGGCCAGCATCTTCTGGCTCCTGCCTTTCCATGCACTTTCTGTCTGGGGCTAGCACATAAGACTTCCTCACCCACACCCCCTAGTTCTTCAGAGACAGGGACTTACCCATGGAGGCTACCCTCTCTCTAGCCCATGCCCCCTGTGCTAACCCTGCCCAGCTGAATTCAGTCTTTCTAGGGCTTCCAGAGAGATCCCTGGAAGAGTTGCTCCCGCCCCCACTCCCTACAACCAGGCCAAAGCCCACTGTTGGGGGACACATGGGGCTGGCAGGAAGCTCCCCAGCCCTGTGTGCCCATTTATGAGGGAGTAGGGTGCTGGGCCAAGCCCCCCAGGCAAGAATCTGACATACTTTGGCATCAACCCCAGGCCCTGCCTCTGCTTCTGCTTGTTGGGCATCCAGATTCCAAGTCCCCAGGGGTTGCCCATGAGTCCTTCTGGCCTGTGATGCCCCTGGCACCTTCTACTGAGCTTCTGAGCTCTCTGCTGAGCACAGCAGGGCAAGGTCCAAGGGGGCTGGGTGGTCAGTACAGTAGCTTTGCCCCTTGGTCTTTCAGCCACCTGAGGCCTTGGGGCCTGAGTTCTCAGATGCCCACATGACGTGGCTGAATTTTATCCGGCGGCCAGATGATGGAGCCTCAAAGAAACGATGTCGGGGCCGAGACAAGAAGTTGGTGAGCACCTGGGCTGCTATGGATCCAGCTCTCCTGGGACTCTAATGGGGGGTCTGAGCCCAGGGAAGTGGATGGCTGTGGCTTCTACCAGGGCCCTCACTTTCTCCTTTTGTCTCCTCCCAGCGAGGCCTTTCAGGTCCCCCGGGGCCTCCTGGGCCCCCAGGGCCCCCAGGGCCCCCTGGTGCAGAAGTCTCCCCAGAGGCCCTGCTTCAGGAGTTTCAGGAGATGCTGAGAGGTAAGGCTGTTCCCAAGCCCTGGTTTTTCCCAGGCCTGGGAGGTACCTGACTCTGCACTGGTTGCCTGTGTCCTTCCTACAGAGGCTACTGAGCGTCGTTTCTCAGGGCTGCTGGATCCACTGCTGCCCCAGGGAGTGGGCCAGCAACTGGTGGTTGAAGCCTTCCACTGCCGGCTGAAGGGCCCGGTGCCTGTGGACAAGAAGACACTGGTGGAACTGCAGGGCTTCCAGGCTGTGAGTAGAGGGCTGGGGGCATCCACTGTAGGTGCTCATGCAGGATGCTGGGTCAGTCCCTGTACAGGTGAGATGGGCCCCTGGGCACCACAGGACAGTCACTGAGCTTGGGTGGAGCCAAGCATAGAGGGTGAGAAGCCTTAGATCAGAGTAGGGAGGCCCAGTGTCCAGACATCAGTGAGTCCTGGGAAGCCAGGAGGCACAGAGCTCCTCTTTGGGAGCTCTTGGGGCCTCATCTGCCCCTTGGGGCTAGGAGCCTGGAAAGACTTGCTTAGGGGTCTGGGGCTGTTGGTTGCAGACATCTCTGCTAGGCTGGGTATGTAGGGCAAGTGTCCAGGCCTGATAGCCAACTGCTCATCGATTGTCTTATAGCCCACTGCCCAAGGTGCCTTTCTACGAGGGTCTGGCCTGAGCCTGGCTTCAGGCCGATTCACAGCCCCTGTGTCTGGCATCTTCCAATTCTCTGCCAGCCTGAATGTGGGTAAGTCGGGCCACAATGTGGAGTGCTTGTAGGATGGGGATTATTAGTCCTCCCTGGGGGGCACCCAGCATCACTGGCCCTGGGCCTGGGTCCCATTGGAGAGATGCCATCTTTTTCCCTCAGGGCCCTAGATGGGCATGGGAGTCACTGCTGCGCTATAGAGCCTCATGCCCACCCTCCTCCAACCCTGGCAGCCACTCCTGGGCCTGTCCCAGGATGTGTGTCTTCTAGACTCCTCCTCTGTCAGCCCCTACTCCCCTGTATGCACCCTCCTCCCTAAGGGCTATCTCCATAGACCACAGCGAGCTGCAGGGAAGGGCCCGGCTGCGGGCCCGGGATGCAGTACGTGTGCTTATCTGTATCGAGTCCCTGTGCCATCGCCACACGTGAGTTACTGTCTCCCCTTGACTCCAGATAGCAGCTCCTGGGACCACCATGGGGGTGGGGGCCCCAGGGGGGCATCTTGAGGGGCACAGGCCTTAGCCCATGGGCAGCTGTGCCCTCACACTCCCCTGTGGTACTGTGTTTAGGTCCTTGGAGGCCGTCTCAGGTCTGGAGAGCAACAGCAGGGTCTTCACAGTGCAGGTGCAGGGGCTGCTGCAGCTGCAGGTGAGGCAGGAGGGGTTCTGGGTTCTCTTGGGGCACAGGCTGCACAGACATCTCCCAGCTGCAAGAGTAGGGTGGACATCAGTAGTTGGACCCAAATGACCAGACTAAGCGCCTCCCGAGGCTTGTTCTTAGACCTGGTCGGTCCTTGTTCATCTGAGTTTTGGGGTGTTATGTTCCATTTGTTATCCCCATGGGGGGGTTGGCTGCTGGGCTGGGGCACCCAGTGGTGACATTCACTGTGGATACCTGCAGGCTGGACAGTATGCTTCCGTGTTTGTGGATAATGGCTCCGGGGCGGTCCTCACCATCCAGAGCGGCTCCAGCTTCTCCGGGCTGCTCCTGGGCATGTGAGGGCCTGACAGTGGCCAGCGAGGAGCTGCCCACTTGCCTTGGAGGACAGCATGCCTTTTTCCCCCATTAATACCTGTGGTTGCAGCAATAAAGACCCCCCAATCTTCCTCGTAGCCCTTGAGCACTGCCTGGTCATTGTGTCGGTGGAGGTGGTGGCAGAGGTCTGGGTGGGGAATGGGCTAGGGGCAGAAAGGGGTTGGAGTGACCCCCAGTGACCCCTGGAGCTCAGACTGCAGCAGGCCTTGGAGGGAGGATGTACAGCAGTCCCCTCACACAGTCTCAGAACAGACTCCTTTAGCCAGGTGTGGGGTGGAAGATGGTAGGAGCCAGCTAAGCTGTTTCCTGGCAGCCTCTGCTCCTGCTGGGGGCTGGGGGCCATGTTTACCCAGAAGACAAGACAAATGTCCATGTAGATCCCTGCTCAGTCATGTTCCCATGGCCTGGGATTCCCCTTGCTCAGGGTCTCTCTAACCTTAGAGGGCAACAGGAGGTTCGTCTCTGGGTACCTGAAGCCTCAGGTTGCCATGGGGGGCAGCAGGAGCCGTGGGGTGGGCCTGTGTCCTATGTAGGAGGGGTCTACTTACTGGTGGGTGGGCAGGAGGGAGTACAAAGACAATGGGCTGTATGAGTGCGTGTAAGCCACAGGTACCACACAAGAAGCTGGGGAGACCCTGTAGGCCCAGGTGCACTCAGTAAGAAGTTGGTACAGGCTAGGTAGAGGACTGCCTAGCTGAGGCAGGGAGTAGAACTGGCATGTACTCACCCTCTTCCTTCCCCAGTGATGGCCACCACACCCCCAAAGACCTGGATTCCTTAGAACCTCTGGGGCCACAATTGCCCCATGTTAGGCAGGGTGAGCTGAGTATCCTACTGTTGCAGCCTGCCCTAGTGGCCAAGACTGTGAGACCTGTGGATCTGGGGCCTCCCTACCCCCATCCCATTATGCTCTGGCAAACCCAGACCGAAGAATGTAAATTGGCCTCAGGATGCCCTGGCCTTTACAGAGTTGCTGAGATACCATCTCTGGTTGGCACCTGGGGCCCCTCTGCAGGTAGAGGCTGGAAGAGGCTGGAACCCCTCCCCCAGGACCTTGGCCTGCCTTGGGGGAGCCACAGGATGGCCCCTCCCTGAGGCCTGCTGGGCAATGAGGCAAGCTGACCTAGTCAGGCAAGGGGGTTCTGGCTGGCGCCGGGCCATGCAGCAGCAGGCTTGGCCGCTGACCCGTCCCCACCTTTCTGCTCAGTCCCCTCAGGGTGGCGTCAGGGGCTGGGGCTGTCTGCAGGGGTCTCTGCTTCCCTGCCTGCAGCCGTCAGCCTGTCTGACTAGGGATGTTCCAGAACCATGCTGGGTCCCCTTAAGGAGGCTGGAGGGGAAGGGCACACAGGGGAGGCCAGGCTTGGGAATGGGTGAGTGCTCCCCACCTTCCCAGTTACCAAGGTCTTGATGAAAAGGTGTGGGAGTCCAGGCCAGACACAAAAGTCTGGGCTTAGGGAGCCCCCTTTCCTCTCTGCTCGCAGCACCCCCTAACTGGGCACAGCCTGCCTCCTAGGGCTGAGAACTAGGGCTCCAGGATCTCCCCTTTGTAGCCCCAGCTTGGCCATAGGCACCAGTCAATGCTCCCCTCAAAGAGGAGGGGAAACTAGGATGTGCACTGGAGGGACCTCCTACGGTCAGTGGGGACATCAGTCAGGGTCCTGTGAAGAGGCAGATCGGGATCTGGTGAGAGGGGCCTGACAGGTGCGTGACCTGCACTTTCCTGGTCTGCAGAGCCATGAGGAGCACGAATGCAGGGGCCACAATTACCCCACTAAATATCAGGAATTTCAGGGGATCCTTCTCCTACCTGGCTCAGTTGGCTCCCTTCCCTTCCCCTCTAGAACACTCTGGAGCAACCCGCACCCCGGGCAGAATAGACTTGAGCCTGAGGCCAGCTGGACAGGATGGTGGGTGGCACCCAGGCAGGCTCTTCTAAGCCAGGCTTTGGGGCCTTGCTGCTCTGTCTGGGTGGGGGTGGGTTCCTGATGATCCTTCAATAACAGCCAGCCCCAGAGATGGGGGAGGTCTCAGCTCCTCTGGGTATGGGTTCATTGTCCTGCAGCTACAGGGGGCTGTGATGACAGAAACTGAGACCCAGAGAATGAACCAAGGGCCATGCGGAGAGACAGGTAGAGAGATGAGATGAGAGACAAGGAGACAGGGACGAGTGGGGGCCAGACCTAGGAGCTGTGTGGGCATGTGGCCAGGGCCCCACATCTCAAGTCTCGGCGCCGACTCCACCTGCCTCCCGTCTGTCTCCTCTTCCTCCCCTGTTTCTGCCCCCTAATCGGAGGTCATTAGCCACTTAGCTGTAATTCCCCTGGAATGTGCTGTCTCCAGTCTAGGCTCCCCCCACCCGTGGCTGGGGGCCCAGGAGAAAAGGAGTAGGTGGCTGGGGTAGAGTTGGTGGCTGCTGCAGGAGAATTCAGATCCCAGGCCAGACCAGCCCCATGTACTCAGCCCACAGAGGACACAGGCTGCCCAGCCTCCACCCTGAACCCAATTGGACCTTGTCATTTTATCCTCAACCCCTCAGCCTGACCCACACTGCAGTTTTTGCTGTGGGAAGGCCCCCCCAAAGGGCTCAAGACCTTGAGGTGTGTGGGAGACACCTGTCGGGCCCACTGGATCTGAGCATGGAGTCCTGTGGGTGGGATGCAGACTGGGCTAGAGCTGCTGCTACTTAGGGCAAGGGGTAATTGGGGGTCCTAGGGATGCGGAGCTCAGGAGGGTGTTTCTTTTCTCCTGGCCTGGTGTTTCCAGTTGTGGAGCTGGGCTTTGGGATGACCCGTGTCTGGCTGCTTCCCAAGTCCTAGCTCCGGTCAGAGCCAGAGTGGCTGCATAGTGCTAGATGGCCTCAGGTTGACCCCTGACCCTGAGCCCCTGCCTGGGAGCAGCAGGAGGTGCTGGCTGGCCTCACTGACCCTTCCTCAAGGGCTGACTTCCCAGAAGCTGGGGCTGACCCTGTGCCTGCCAGGCCAGGACTGGGGGTTGGTGTACACTGCTGCTATGGGCTTCTGGCTGTCCTGGGAGGGCCTGTGCCCAGTGTGCAGATGCCTCCTCCAGTCCCTCCAACCTGGATCCCGGATGAGCTGAGCCCTTCCTAAGCCCTGGTGTTAGGCTTGAGGCCTGGCTGGACCTGACCTGAGACCCCTGCCCTGAGGCTCTGGGGTTTTATCTTGGTGTTGGGTCAGGGCTTGCCCTCCCAGTGCCCTTGGCATACTGTGTTGGGTTTGAGTACAAACAGGAATGTGGACATCAGGCTCAGGACAGCTGGAAAGTCCTCTCGGGGGCTAGGAGTCACAGTTCAGCAGCAAAGCCCCACTCAGGGCTATAGCAGAGGCCAGGACGGGGAAGAGTGGGCAGGACTGGGGGCTCCTGACTGTGAGTGAGGAGACTGCGCCCCAGCTCTGGCCTTACTCTTTTTTTTTTTTTTAAAGAGTTATTTATTTATTTATTTATTTATTGTTTTCCTGTAGGGCACGTGTGCTTATTGGAAAGACAGAGGGACAGAAAGCAAGAAATCACCCCCCCCCCCCCCCCCCACCACACAAGCCAG